GACTTGAAACCGTAGCCGTAAATTTAAACGGCATTTAGCAAGCTCAATAAAGTCAAACACACTTAGACTGAAATTCCTTTAAGCCCAGGCACCCATGTGCAAACTTGCAGTTGGCATCGTTGCACCTCCGAGCAAAAGATGCTCCAAGCGGGAGCACTGTGAAACTTCAGCGCGCTTGCTGGCCAACTGAGGTCACCACTTCTTTCTAAAGAAGTTGACCTACAAGCTGCAGTGTTTTTTTGTTTGCATCTGCAAGAAGTACAGAAGTGCGGTCTAGAAACACACAGCTTTGTCTTGGAAAGGTCCGGGGGAGCATTGAGCTCCTCCCTCGTGTGCGCAAAGGGGCATCCATGACCCATGGTGCACTTCTTCCTCGTTTCAACACAAGTCACGAAGTAATATTGCAATCACACGCGCTAGATGCAACTCAGTGCCCCACTTCTCTAAGTTCCCTGGATCCCGGGCAAAAATTGTGATTCCATCTGGTACTTCGGACCATGAACAACAGAGACCATGTTTTCAGGGAATTTGCAGACGCGGGTGCTTGGCTGGGAAGCTGATTCCTGCCACTTGCCCGCGAGGCCCCACTTGCACCTCGCTTGCCACACTTGCATCTGACCTGCATTTGACTTGCCCTGCCTGTCCCCCATTTGCGCACCATTTGGCCCACTCTTCACCCTGCCCCCATCTGCCCACGATTGCAGCAACCCCAGTGCAACAAATGCATGTGGGGCAAGTGGGCAAGCGTGCCAAGTTGGAGCGCAAGTGCGCACTCCCTGCCATCCCATTCCATGTCTCAATGTGCCTTCACATTGATTGGAGACTTGACCCGCAGGTAAACCCGAGCAGCGGCTACGCCGTTGGAGCTCCGACCCAAAAAAAACCTTGAACTGGAATGCCCACAACCCACACCGGGAAACCGTGTACTTTTCTTGTAGGCCCGCGGTTGCTGTGCCGTCCCGAAGCATGCTGTATAACCCCAGGAAGCAAAGTCAACCATAAGCTTCAAACCCTAGCCAATTATCACCCGAGCAGTGGACCCCACTCGTACCCGACTTGCCTCAGGCACATGGGGAGCACAAGTGGTGCCACAAATGGCTCCCAGCACCAAAGGATTCAATTGGCTGGTCCAGAATGCTGGCAATGCTACATGCGCTTCAGTTCGCACTTCATGTTCCAAGGGTCGTCTTGTGGAACCATAGTATCCCCCAATAAAATACTACTCAGCTCGCATTTCATGGTCCAAGGGTCTTCTTGTGGAAAGCACACATCTTGGTCTTGTGGAACTGGCCGCGAATCCTTACCGCAGCATATGCATGCACATCACCGTCCTCACACTCCTTTGTTTGCGGCTCAGGATCTGCGGAGAAAACTTGCCAGAAGGATTGTTCATCATTGCCTGCTTAGAAAAAGATATTTGAGATCCCCTTCTGCCTGAACACTGGATTGTCGCCTGTGCGCCATTGATGGCCCAGGCTGCGGGCGTCGGCGTGGGAACGATCAGCGGGCCGTTCACCATGTCACCCGAGCCGACAAACCTGTTCAACTCTTCCTACATCAATAGCCAAGAAGGTGGTACCATTAGCAGATTAGCAGTGCAGTCACGCTGCTGACTAAAATGGGCGATGTTGTTCTCCAGCCCCTGGATGTTGTAAGGCTGGGCCACACCCTCGCTTGGACACTGCCTTAGATCTGAAAGCCTGATTTGCAAAAATCCTTGCTCGAACACTCTGGTGCCCAGTTGCTGGAAGTAGCCTCAGCATTGGGTGTCGGCAGCACGAATAAACATCACTCTGAACTTCCATGACATAGTTGCAGAGGGGCGGCTCAAACACATACTGGCGACCCCCTGCAGTAACTCAAACTGCCCCTGCTCTAAAGAACAAGACATTGATGATGCTCCTGCGCTTTTTGCGCTTTTGCACCGCTGGGGTCTGCACCGGGTCCTCAAAGTTGATAAAGACACATCTGCCGCCCCAGCCCTCAGACGCATCCTGAAGTTGACGCCATCCCTAGATACAGAGCCGGCTTGTTGGATGCGCATGTGGGGTCAAGACTATCTGCGGAGAAGCGTCGGGGGGCATGTAGAAGAAGTTGTAAGTGCCAACAAAGCCCCATGTGTCCAACTGTCGCCTGCCACATCGAAACTTGGGTAGCAGGCTCAGGGTCCTCAAGAGCAGCTTTCCTCCGGCTCTGGCCGACTGAGTCGTGCACCGGAACGCATCAGCATCCATGTGCTCAGGAATCTGCGTAATCATCAGCGTGGTGATGGGCATCATCGTTTGCATCGGACTTGGATGGTCACAAGGTATAATGGCAAATGAACATCAAGAAAACGCGCGGCATGCAGGAACTGCGAACTCCTGGGCGCCCCACTTCTGATCAGGTTCCTGAATCAGAAACGGTGCAAATCCACTGTGCAAAGAAGCTTGTTCAAGGCTTGCCTGAGACCGTCTGCGATGACCGAACGCTTGGCTGGACCTTAGCACGTTGAGCAGTAGGTGGAAGCCAGGGGAACTGATGGTGATCTCAAATTCGGATACGATGTCCACTTCGGGGCAACTCATTACAGACAAGGCTCCCTGAGACTGTGAAGGCCTGCATCAGGCATGGAGGCATGAGTGCCACATCTTACAGCAGCTGCAGCAATCTTGGACCAGAGTGCCTCTGCATCGGACCTGCACGCACGTTGACGCAAAGTTGGGGTTTTCGTCATCTCAGGACATGTTCGGTGCCTCAGATCCGATGTAGTTTCCAGCTTCTCTGGCTTCTCGACCTCCTGTGAAGTGTGAGGTTTACCATGGAGACACAC